GGAAAGTGTTATCGCAAGATCTATACTAGGGGGGAAAAACAAAATCCAACTTTCATACCATACATAGACTACTCAACCCAAATAGTCACAACCTACTTAGGACTCTAGCACGTGATGAATACCTATGCAACTAAGCTAAGAAAAGACACCCATAATATACCCAACAACATGACGAGGTGGAGTTCCTTCTTTTTAGACTTCGATTATGTCAATAGTATAAGTGTCACAAGACAAACGTCCACCTTTCGGCCTCTGCGGTGTGCCTCATGAGAAAGCACAAGTAAATCTTGCCTCAACTACATCAGTTTAAACATGGGCTACCCATCCATCTTTCAACTTTTGCGGTAGCTGGGTGTAACTGATTTCTATCCTAGCCTTTAGTAATATAAGTATATGCCCCCTTTCCACTTTCAGCTTCGGCGGCGGCTCAATGCAAATGACTTTACCAAATAGTATGTGACATATAGGTCACCCTTCCACCTTTCGGCTTTCACGACGACCCATAACCCTATCCTAGGCGTAAGGTTGCCCCTCTGCCCGAGTGTTTCAGCGACAACCCTATACTTACACTCTGATTCACCAGCCTCATCCCCATCTTCGGTGTCGAGCCGCCCCTCTGCTCACGATTCGGTGGCTACCCTCGACTTTTTCATTAGAATATAACTTCAGACCTTAACTTCAATCATATCTGTAGGTGTCGGGTTGCCCCTCCGCTTACACATTGGCGGCAGCCCCACACCTCCGACTTATCATAGCATTCAACGTATATAGTAGGTGCTAGGCGACCCCTTCGTCATTCTTTGGCGGCAGCCTTTTCACCCCAGACTTACCCTATCTTTGAATCCCTCTTGCATCGAGTCACACTTCCGTTCAAGGGTGTTGGCGGTCACCCCTTTGTCCAAAGGTATTGGTGGTTACCCCTCCGTCCAAAAGGACATCGACGGTGTCCTTTCCACCTTGGCATTGGTGGTTTCCCCTCTTCCCCAAAGACATCAGCGGTGCCCGTAAGTGTCAAAGGTCCTACCATGCACGCGAGGCGCCACCCCTCCACCTACGGATTCGACGGTGGACCTCTATGTCATACCAACAACCATACAAGTGAGGGGTCGCCCTTGCACCTTTGGCTTTAGCGGCAGGCCCTCATTGGAGTCATTGTTAATCCAATCATCAAGTATACCAGCAAAGGACCACCCTCCTGCCTTTTGGCCTTCACGACGAACCCTTTTTTCCAAGTTTCTAGACATGTAAGTGCGTGGCCACCCCTCCACCTCTTGGTTTTGGGCGGCGGACCCTTAGTCCTAAATGCTAGTCTGGTAAGCGAGGGGCCACTCTTCCATTCACGCTTCGACGGTGGGCCCCTAACATCAAACTATTAGCCATACAAGTGAGGGGCACTTAATCTCCCACGATGGAACCTCACTGTCAAATTGTTAGCCATATATGCGAGGGGCCACCCTTCCACTTGCTTTGGCGGTGGACTCTCAGTGCTGAATTCCCTTTACTTAGTTTGCACAGCAAAGGTAAGACACACAAGAAATAGTGCACTCCTTGTCCCATTCCAGCACAGACATCGGTGCAAAGGAAGAGATACGGAAAAGGAAAGTATAAAGATGAAAATGAGATGGGGTGCTACTTGCAGTTCCCTGCCTCCAGAGTCCCGCCTCGACTCCGGCAGAGATCCCGCAATCGGTGGCGTAACCCCCACAAGGCCTTGACGCAGTCCCGTGGGTTGCAATCCCACCTTCTGCCTTCCTCTCCCGAACCAAGGATTAGATTGAGAGGAAGAAAGGCAGAAGAAGAAAGTTTAGTCTCTTGACATCCAAGGGAGTTTCAGTCAGACTAGAATGGAGAGGGCCTTGATGCCTTCTTATCCTGAGGGCGCTGGAATGGCTGCCAGCCGCAATAAAGTCCTCGGGCTCAGACCTCGGTACGCCTGCCATTTTCCCTTTCTGCTCCCATTACATCCAAGGTAGAATCCCCCTGGAGGTCAATGATGCAGTACCCCCACGCCACATCTTGGCCTCCCCGTACCGATATCGACCGCACTGATCACCCTGAACAGTAACCAAACCCCCATCGGTTAACTCTTGGCCACTTAGCGGTGATCTGTCGACCAAGCCTGCCTCTGACATTTGCTGTTTAAGTCCGTTATCCACCGTGCTGATCACCTTGAACAGTAGGCAAACCCCCATCGGTCAGCTCTTGGCCACTTAGTAGTGATCTGTCGGCCAAGCCTGCCTCTTACATTTGCTGTTTAAGTTCGTTTCTCAGGTATGCTACTTGAGCCTGCCGCTGGCTGTACCCCCTTATATCAGGACCTATCCGGTCTTCCATGCCTCAATTTTGCTGCCTTTCACTCCTGCTGATGCATTTCTTGATAGGCCACCGCAGTTTGGACTTCATATCCCTGGAAAGGGTTATGAAGTTGAGAATAGAGGATCAGTTGGGCACAGGCTCCGACTGCAAATACCTTGTGAAGTTCTGCTTCCAACCTCACACAGAGGACCGTTGGTTTACAAGGAAGGAACTTCTCAAGTCTGCAAATTCAGTGCAGTTCTACGAGGCTGAATAGAAAGGGCGATTGCTCAGGCGGTCTCCCCGTCGACACTCCTAGCCCAGGGTCCTCGCTCCCCGGGAGGGTCGGAATGCAAGCGATTCGTAGGATGTACACTCAGTTTGTTTGCTGTTCCCCTTATCTGAGCCCTGCCGGACTTCATCCCGTGATCTACAGTTTGTATGTGTCACTCAGTAGCTTTGAGTCCTTCTGGGCTTGACCCGTGAACCTGTCGCAAGTAGTCTCTATTTGGCAGTCTTAGGCCATTCATGCTTGCTGTTTTGTCCTTTTCTGGTCTTCTGGAAACTGGTAGGCCTGTAGGTCCCCCTTGTTTGTGTGGTAGTCTTGGGTTTGCTTGGTCTAGGTTCCCATCTAGATGCAGATAGGCAGATCTTGAATGTTTGGCCGTAGATGTGTGCTGTTTGGACGGTCAGATGGGTTTGTAGGTGACTGCTGTGTTGTGGGTCTAGGGAAGTCGGGTAGAAGTAGGCAGAGGCCGGCAAGTCTGAGGTTCTTTTCTCCTTTTTTTCTGGAAGTGGTGATGGGAGTACGTGAGTGACACTATTTCCAGCGCTCAATCTTCTTCCTCGTCGAAGGGGGAACTTGGGCAGCCATAGCTGGGGCGCCCTGCTGCTTGAGGAGGCAGCACCTGTAGTAGGTCTTCCTGGTGCTGATGCCACTGCCATCACGCTGCTGTTTGTGGGGGTTGAAGCTGCTGTTCATCAAGCAGCTTGTTTGTGTCCTAGTCTTGGGTTCCCTTGGTCTAGGTTCCCATCTAGATGCAGATAGGCAGATCTTCTGGAAACTGGTAGGCCTGTAGGTCTCCCTTGTTTGTGTCCTAGTCTTGGGTTCCCTTGTCTAGGTTCCCATCTAGATGCGGATAGGCAGATCTTGACTGTTTGGCCGTAGATGTGTGCTGTTGGGACAGTCAGATAGGTTTGTAGGTGACTTCTGTGTTGTAGGTCTAGGGAAGTCTGGTAGAAGTAGGCAGAGGCCGACAAGTCTGAGGTTCTTTTATCCTGTTTTCTGGAAATGGTGACGGGAGTACGTGAGCGGCACTATCTCCAGCGCTCAATCTTCTTCCTCTTCGAAGGGGGAACTTGGGCAGCCATATCTGGGGCGCTGTCGCATACGGTAAAGGTGCAGACCAGAACAAGAACTGACCTCTCTCACATAGTACAAGATAGCGCAGCGGAAGGCTAATATACCAATGATCCGAACAATCAATGTTGCAATGCAGACCAAACATACATCATCATCATTCCATGGAGTGAAGGGGCCTGGCGGTCACACAGGAAGAATGAGCCAGTCCCCAACCATACACAGATGAAGAAGAGGGGAAGATGGGAATGTCGTCAACACCAAGTCTTCGGTACAGGTCCCAAATAATCCCTCGTCCAATGTCTCAATCCCAATGTGGAGTCCGGATCCAAATGTCGTCAAGTCCCAAAGACTAGTCACCAATCTCTCTCTCTCTCTCTCTCTCCCGTAGTCCGCAGATACTGAGAAGTTAGGTAGCGAGAGGGTGAGGGAGAGATGGTGGACTTGGAAGAGGAGGAAGAAGAGCTCTCTCGCTCTCTCTCTCTCTCAGTCCGGTACTAACCTGTGAAGGTGGAGCCTTGTTGCAGGTACATCGAAGACGAAGCTGGAGCTATGGCGCCACAGGTAAGTCTCCCTGGCCGCCGCCAACCATCTCTCCCTCTCCAACACTACTCTAGCTCCTATTAGCCCCCAACGCTGAAGACTACTGCTAACGCTACTACTACAACCGCAGCGCTCCTCCAGAGTGCTGCTGCCGAAGCCTGAAGACTACCTCCTGCCTCCTGCACGTGAAGTGCCTGGGAAGTCCCTATGAACTACCTGCAGCCTGCAGGGCGGGCCAGTCTTATATAGTGTTGGCCCGTCCAGGAGGCTGCTCTTGCCAATGCCAAAACGTGCCAGACCCTGACATTGAAGTTCAAACAAAGGTTGTCTTGAAAACTGGCCCAAAATGGCCTGTGCTAAGACCCTGGTCTGGCGCCTGAGTTTCAGGGCAGGTCGACTTTATGAGGGCCTGCAAATGGCCTTCGTTTTCAGGCTTTCAGGCTGAAACGACACAGGGCCTGTAGGCCCTTGCTTTCAGGCTGAAACCACACAGGGACTGTAGGCCCTCGTTTTCAGGCTTTTAGGCTGAAAACGACACAGGGCCTGTAGACCCTTGTTTTCAGGTTTTCAGGCTGAAACCACACAGGGCCTGTAGGCCCTCGTTTTCAGGCTTTTAGGCTGAAAACCACACAGGGCCTGTAGGGCCCTTATTTTCCGTCTGGTCAGGCCCTGCATGCGCAGTATGCCACAGGTGCCCTGCTGCTTGAGGAGGCAGCACCTCTAGTAGGTCTTCCTGGTGCTGATACCACTGCCATCACGCTGCTGTTTGTGGGGGTTGAAGGACGCTGCTGTTCATCAAGCGGCTTGTTGCAGGTTGCTGCAATATAAGGGCAGCCATCATCTTCTTCATCGAGGTTCACCACCTTCTTCATGGTGGTTTGCGGCGCTGTGACTTGATATCTGGGGATGCTGTTTTCAACAGTGGGGTACCATTGGAGGCTGGGGGTTGTAGGGAGAAGGGTAAGTTTCACTGAACTTCGTTGAAGTGTATTGTTGGGGGTTAATTGGAGGTGGAGCAGATTTCGCGGTTGAGATTCTTGTAGTTGTTCAGTCGACAGGAGGAGAGCAGGGGGTGTAATAAATAATTGATTGAAACATTTTTCTCTCAATGTTCTCTCTGGCTTTGGCTTCTGCTGTGCAATCTCTCTCCATGGCTATGGTGTGAATCTGCTCTCTCCAGTCTGCCTGTCATTGCAGATGTGTACGGGAACATTTGAATGCGGTTTTAAATTGTGAATCAATGGAACACATAACAGAAGTTCGCGCAAGAGTTCACTCCAAGTCAAGAAGCTGGAACGCTGAGTTAATGCAACCCACGGAACTTCAATGCATTATCATGTTGTACATTTGCAGAGTTCCTCCCGTTCCCATTCCTGTTCCCTCTCTCTCTCTCTCTCTCTCTCTCTCTCTCTCTTTCTCTCTCTCTCTCTCTCTCTCTCTCTCTCTCTCTCTTTCTCTCTCTCTCTCTCTCTCTCTCTCTCTCTCTCTCTCTCTCTCTCTCTCTCTCTCTCTCTCTCTCTTGCTCTCTTCACTTGTTGTGCTCTTGCACACCTCTCACTTGCTTCCCCCACAGCCTATCGTCTACCCTGGATACATCCGCCTCAGCTCACTACAAGTTATGACGGCTATGGCCACCAGCGCTAACTACGAAACCCTAGCACCTCCTACACCTCCAGGCGCCCTCCGGCCGAGTTGCTATGTCACATATGTTGCCAGCAGCGCTTCCACAAGTTCGCGATAGCTTCCGGACTTTCTAGGGACGCTGCTGCAGAACTGGACTTTTCTTGTCGGGTACCGGTTGGACTTTGACAGGTTCGCTGTTTGTTCGGTATCTGTCCTACGACGCTTCAGACTGGACCCTACGGCCTAGACCTAACCTACAGGGACCCGATGGGACTGGGACCAACTTGGACTTGGGACTCTGGGTGTCTGTGATGTGAAATCCTTTCATTAACTAACTTCTGTTCTGCAGTTTCAGGCCAGTGAGACGATCAAATGGCCAGCATAACTTGGCCTAAGCTTCTTGTGTAGGGGAGCTTGTGATGTGGGGATAGTGAACACATGAAAATCAAAAGAGGATGGGGGGCAGGAGGAGGGGAAAGGGGTGTAGGAATGGAAGGAGAAGATAACAATGTATGCCTACCTGAGTGAAACTAGTCCTAATTTTTTATTACTTTGACTGCAGCTCTTCCTGTTAGCCATTCTCCAAAAGGGATCGGATAACACATGTAATACTTCCAGCCCAGTATACCTCCCCATGGAACTCTCCACGCACAAACACCACTCGGAGAGAGAGAGAGAGAGAGAGAGAGAGAGAGAGAGAGAGAGAGAGAGAGAGAGAGAGAGAGCACTTTGGCCCACCCATTTGCACACAGCCAGTTTGCACTTTGTCGCACCACACCTGTTTGCACTTTGCCACACAGCCTGTTTGCACTTTGCACGCCATTTCACGCCCGGTGCACTGTTCCATCTGACTAATGGCAACTATTGTATTTTTGACTCTTTTACCCTTGGAATTGGGGGTTGTGCAGGTGGCTTTCATGCCTGATATTCCCAGTGGTGGGGGATTACCCAGGAAACTAATGGAAGAGTTCCGGAAGAAGTTCTTGGGGAGCTATGCTCCCCTCACCATCGTCTTTGATGGAGCGAAGAATCTCTACTCTATCCAGGAGTTGAGAGCCCCAATGTCTGAGGTCATCAGTTTCGGGGAAGATGGCCGGCCGCCCAAGTAAGTAAAAAGACAACGTTAAAAAGCGTGAACCTGGGTGTGTCTAAAAGCAAGTTGGGCTTTTGAAACATGAACGTTGTAGCACAGGGGTTTAGTGCTGAATCATTGGTGGACCTCGTCCATAGGCAGGTATTATACCAGTCACCACGGAAGACAGTTAAACAGCAGAGCTTGGTACGTACCTCATGGATCAACTGAACACATGTAACCAGATGCGTTGTCAAGTAGCAGCGATTGTGTACCAAAACGAGTCTCGCGGCTACTACTGCCACCTCCACTTGTGGCTTAACACCAGGCAGGAGGGGCGGAGGCACCAGTAGGATGCTCTTATTCGGACCTCAGGGCCCAACTCCTGGTGCTATAATATTTGTGTGACAAAGACTCTTTTTGTTCAAGCTTGCTGGTGATAAGCAACCGGACTGACACACTCCCCAGAATAGATGGGCCTGTGTGTGTATGACCGCACTGACGTCAAGCACACTGCTCAGACAGCACCAGGACCAACTCAATGCGTCCAAAATTCTCCAAATGCCAGTTTGGTTGCACAAAGTTCCTGTGCTTGGGTCATGAGATCTCAGATGGTGGACGGAGGCCAGAAGATGCGTTGGGGCATAAGAGATTGGCCTAGACGTCAGAATGTCTCTGAGGTAAGATCTTTCCTGCGACTGTCAGGATACTACGGACAGTTTGCACAGACGTTCAGTTATATAGCTAGCCTCTTAACTTACTTCACTATTCTTGAGACCCTTTGTGAATGGGGTTAGAACTCTGAGTGAGCCTTCAAGCAAGTGGATACTGCTGGCGACGCCTGTGACTGGATGCAAGTTGTGCAACATTGTACCTGTGACTGGATGCAGGGTGGGCCGCTCGGCTCGGCTTCTGATGGTTGACTGCCTTTTGCAAAATGTCGACTTTGCCAACTTTTTTTTTTTTTTTTTTTTTTTAATTTGGACCACTTCTCGATTTAGGCATGTCATCCTTGCGCAGGGGCCATGCTGATCTTCTCTGTATCATTCCAATTTTAAAGGATGTCTTGAAGGACTGACTGTGCGTAGTTTCGTTTTTCTTTGTGGTCAGATTTTTTGATGAAATCAGGGATATAGATTTTATGCTGACCTCTTTGAAAAGACCATTAGGAGTGCCAGGAGCGCAGCCTGGCCGGAAAGCGTTGGGGATATGCACGCGTTTCAACTGAGAACTGTGCATACAGAGATGTAATGTTTATCTGCTGAAAATGCGAGGCCTGGTGGCGTGGGCAGGGTAGGAGCCCGACTGGTGCGCACGACGAGGCGCTACACGGCTTCTCTCCTTGGGTTGATGATGGCCTGAATATGGTGGCGTGTGGTTACTAGTCAGACCTTGTTTTGCGGGCAATGCTTTATGCACGGTCACTTGGACTGGGATGGTAGGTGTTTGTCGAAAGAGGAGACTGATTGGGAGCTCCATGAGCGAGAATTCAGGCGAACGCTGGATCCGATTCTTCAATCAGATGTGTTGGCGGATGCATGGCGGCTGCTGGAAGCTAGAGTGGATCCGCAGATCCGTAGGGAGATCAAGCAGACCGGAATTCAAGAGGGAGACAGCAGGAGCAGGGAGCAGTACCAGAGCCAGAAATGGCAGCGGGGTAGGAGGCCAGAAGGGAATGGTACCGGCAGGAGGAATCGGGATGTGATCCGATGCAGACAGATGAGCTGAGCTGGTTGTTTGGTGGACTATAGGAAGCGCAAAGCAAGCGAGGAGGGAGGGGAGCGGCCTGGACAGCGGGCAGCAAGGGAGAGAGATGGTGGGCACGGGTAGGGATGCTGATAAGGGGAAAGGAGAGGTGGTGGAGAGCAACGATGAAGCTGCAGGGGAGGACTGGCAAAGGATGGAGGGGCGATGTAGGGAAGGGGGGGGGGGGGGGGGGAAAAGTTGGGGGGGGAAAGGTGGGGGGGGGGGGGGGGGGGGGGGGGGGGGGGGGGGGGGGGGGGGGGGGGGGGGGGGGGGGGGGGGGGGGGGGGGGGGGGGGGGGCAAACGTTTGAGGGCGAAAGTTTGGCCCTCGAATGGATGGGGGTTGATCGGGGAAAAAAGGGGAGGTTGGGAGAGAGTGCGGGAATGGTTGGAACTCAGGCGGTCATTAGCCTGGGGAGTAATGGGCCGACACACCTGCCGAAGGCGGGGTCGGATGGAGGGGACGAAAGGGACAATGAGGAGAGGTGCGACCCTCGGGGTCAGGAGCGGGACGGGGCAGAGCAAGAACTGCCAGTACGGGGGTCTGCAGGAGACAGGGGGGGAGGTAATGGAAGGTAAGCGAGTTGAAGGAGGAGAGAGTAAAAGGACGGGGAAGGGCAGAGAATGTTTGCGGTGGGGACAGATGGGCTGGGCTCGCAGAAGTTGGTGAGGAATGGAGGACGGTAGAGGTAGGTAATTTGGCGGGAGATAGGCAGGGCTGGGAGGGTGATTGGGACGAAGCACAGATGGAGGATGGGATTGGTCTGGCGGATGGGTTATTGGGGGCGAGAGGCACGTGGCGAATGTCAGAAGGGGGGGGGAGAGGGGGGGGGGGGGGGAACGGAAGGACAAGTAGAAGGCAAGGTGTGGACTGAAGGAGGGGATGACCAGGCTGGGCGTCATCCTCCGAAGGCAGCAGGTGTGGCAGCATCTGAACAGATAGAAAGAGCAGTGCAGATGGGAGTAGTGGATAGTCGAAAAGACGAACAACCTCCAGAAGTGGTGAGGCAGGGTGCAGGGCAGGGCTCAGGATTGGTAAGAGGGAGGGTGACGGGGTTGGAACAGATGCTGAAGGCCTCACTAACGCTAATAGAAGCGGTTCTGGCCCGACCAGGGACGGGGGGGGCAGCGAAGAGGAGGAATCAATGATGCAGGACCCCCCCCCGGGCGACGGTGGGGGTGGACCAGAGCCTGGACCGTGAGAAAAGGGGAAGGTAATCAGGGAGTTCGAGGAGAATGAAGAGTGTTACTACAGGCCCACCTAAGGGACGGCAGCTTGGGACAGATGAGCTAACCCCGTCCAGTGCCTCGACATCACAGGAGTCGACCTGGGCTAATAAGGTTTACCAGAAAAAGCCCGAGTGGGAGGCAGTCTCGGGGTGGGCAAGGGAAAGGGAGCGGACTCCACCAACAGGGCAGGGTGGAGCGAAGCTATGCGGACGTTAGCAGGGAGAGGATGCAGTCTCCAAAGGCGCGGAAAGGAAAGCGAGGTGACCCAGTGGGGGGGAGGGAACGGGAACAGTCCCCACGGACTGGGAGGCAGGCACCTACATAGGAGCGGGAATCCAGGTACTGGCTCCGAAGTGCGAAGACCCTGCATCACGGCCGCGGACGCAGAGAGCATGGAGGAGGAAGGGGGTATGGAGGTTGAGTGCTCGGTTGAGGAAGGGGGGATGGGCTCCCCGGTTGGGGGAGAGGGGCCAGGGGGTGTAGATGAAGGAAAGCAGAGTGAGGATGGGCTGGGAAAAGGAGATGAAGGCGGGGTGGCAGTCCTCTCTGACTGAGCAGGGGGGGAAGTATGCGTAGTCCTGGAGGGTTATGCGGGCCAATCGATCGGGGGATGATGGATAGCGAGCAGGAGTCTTGGGGTAGCAGTACCAAGAAAGAATGGGTGCGAGGGTGCAGGGTAGGTTGGGGGCGGAGGACGAGGGGGGTGAATCTGGGCCCCCGACCTCCTCTTGATCCTCACTCCCCTGCAAATTCCTACTATCGTCGCACGAGCCGTGTGCTTCTTGCTCCTCTTCTCTCTCCACTTCACTACCTCCCTCCCTTCCCTTAGTACCCCGGGCCCGGCCTACATACCCCTGATCATCGCGCGTCGGTGATGCACATACCCAGTGTTCATCAAGAAGGGCTCCAGTAGAATACATTCCAGCATCACTGGGGGGTAACATTCTGCGTTGTTGCATTCTATGTATCCGTAGTACAGTCTTGAGTGGTAGATAGCATTAGTGAGTACATGGGCTGGTAGAGAGACCGAAGAGAGCAGAGAACTATGTTGGGAGGTGAGAAGAGCGCCTTTCATCACCAAGAGATCAACATTGTCGATTCTTGTGCTGTTGTGATCATGGCTTCGTCATTTCTGCCAGTGGCTTGGTATGCGTAGTGCAGTCTTGAGTGTTGGCATTAGTGAGCACATAGGCTGGTAGAAAACCGATGAGAGCAGAGAACTCTGTTGGGAACTTGGGAGGCAATAAGAGCGCCTTTCATCGCTAAAAGATCAACATTGTCGATTCTTGTGCTGCTGTGATCATGGCTTTGTCATTTCTGCTAGTGGCTTGGTCACCCTTTGCAAATTGAGTTTCTTCAATGTGATGATAAATCGGTGAAAAGGGAAAAAGAATCAGATGCCTGCAGCCTCTAACAAAGTTTTTCTTGCTGACAATGTTTCCTCCTCCCTTGTGTTTGACTAGGGAGTATAAGATAGAGGTGAAACAAGCATCCAGATTCGATCTGAATGAGCTGATTCGGTTCTTCCAAGACTCATCAAGGCAGCTGCCACAGAATATCCTACAGAGTCTTGAGGTTGCCCTCCGTGAAGTTCCAGCGATAAAGTGAGTGTACTCGCCCTCCAGGGTGGGCATCACTATCTTTTCCCTGTTGGTTCAAAGCAAATGAATATTGCAATGAGGATGAGCACTGAATTTGCTTGCTCTATTTTTCTGTGATGGGAAGAAACCCTGCTTGCCTTTTTTTTATATATATATCGTCACAAACAGAATATATATATTTTTAAAAATTTTAAAGCGCCTTTGGTGGGGGGCCGCAGACCCCGATAGTGTATGCACACCCTCAACGGCCCTCCTTTTCTGAGGTACTAATAGAACAGGAGACGTATACGGTGAGGTACTTGGCCAGATCCAGCCCCCGTCTCTCACTTGCTGCAGTTGCTTGCAAAGCTCATCTTTCTCCTTTTTGGGGTCTTACTCCTTGGGGCAATCTCTATAGCAGTTGCTTGCAAAGCTCATCTTTCTCCTTTTTGGGGTCTTACTCCTTGGGGCAATCTCTATAGCATGGACTATCTGCCTTTCCACAACTCCGCTCGTCTCGTCCTGCAGGTCTCCAGGCCTCTATGAGGCCTGCCCCTTTGGTTCTGCCTCCAATAGCTGTTTACCAAACTTGCACACAAGCATCTATGAGGATCTTCCATCTTATGAGGTGAATACTTCTTTGGTTCTGCCTTCTGGAGTCTTGCACCACAAGGCTTTCAATGTCCACCGGCTTAGCCACTTCCAAGTAGTCCATTCATAGGATCATATCGAATGGTATTTCGTCGCTCACAGGGAAGACCTGTGCTTGATCTTCCTTCCCGTGCGACAAGGTGCGAACTACTTCCTTGATGCAGTCTTTCACAACAATCTTTTGCTTGTTGGCTAATGTAGATACATATGTCCCAAGTAGTCCATATGTCCCAAGTAGTCCATTCCTAGGATCATATCGAACGGTATTTCGTCGCTCACAGGGAAGACCTGTGCTTGATCTTCCTTCCTGTGCGACAAGGTGCAAACTACTTCCTTGATGCAGTCTTTCACAACAATCTTTTGCTTGTTGGCTAACGTAGATACATATGTCCACTTGGTGGCTGCACCCTGTCCGCTAGGCGCAACTTCTCCGGGCGACCCGACTGATGTAAATGCAAGTTGATCCTGTAGGAGAAAGTGGAAACTACTTCCTTGATGCAGTCTTTCACAACAATCTTTTGCTTGTCGGCTAACATAGATACATCATACATTCACCAGGTCCACTAGGCGCAACTTCTTCGGGCGACCCGACTGATGTAAATGCAAGTCGATCCTATATCGGCTAAGGCCCCTGCTTATGGCCATGCACTTCCAGTTGTATGACGACCGATTCTCCTTTTGGATCCTCTGCCATAGTTACCCAAAAGGCCATAAGTTCTGGCAACTCTTTGCCACCTCTTCGAAGGACTACCGTAGTGACATCCCGAGAACAGAGCATCTCTTTCTCAAACTGTGACTGTGGGGTAACACCACCACTAGGTTCTTGACGTTAAGAGTATGTCTAAGTCATATCTTACTCCTGGCATGTTGATCAGCTCCTCCTTTTCTTTGTCAAGGACGGTATGCTCGTGCACTTCCAAGTCTCTAACGGCCTGAGCACGTCGGTGACCTTTTGTGGCCTTGTCCCATCCTGAAAAGGTCTTGTGAAGAGTATGCTTCCTTGTCTACCAGGTTACGTCCCAGGGATACTCATCCTCTACGAGCCTGACCCTCGCAAAAAAATGAAGCTGCAGTTATAATCTCCCTGTCTATCGGTGCGTCGTTCATCCTAATGAACACGGGGACTGCCATCAACCGGGTGTCTACGTTCTCCTCCTCCCTGTCGCCTGTGAAGATGACTGGCTGAGCCATTGTGGTCTTGGTTACTTACGAGGACCTGGGAATAACGGCCCTGCAGTTGTCGTCATCTGAGGTATAGAACTGTTCTGAAACTTGGGGTTGACTCACAGCTGCACTGCCGACCTGAGGTGTGATTCCATAGGGAGGGATGAATTGCGTGGACAAAGCAGCTATGGCTTCCCCCGAATAGAACGAACGTACAGTCATTATTGCTGTATCTGGACTGAAAGTTGCCCCAAATACAGGCATAATGACCGTACGTTCTATTCGAGGGACGAAGGTAGGCCACGCCACTTAACTATCACAGTGACCTTCGAGGTACTAGATGCTGGTAGGTCACAGTCGTGCTTGCGGGAACTGCTTTCACTTTGTGCGTTAGATCCATACGCTAACTTTCTCTCCAAGAAACTCATGGCTTCTACCACAGTCATCTTAACTCCTCAAAGCCTGTTTGTGTTTGTGCAGCTTTTCTTCCCTTACTGTCTAAGTCCTATCCTGAGGCTTTCGCAGTGCAGCACATCTTGGTCAATCTGACTTGGCTGTGCAGCATTAACAGGAACCTGTGAACGGACATGAAGCTGTGTTGCTTGGCCCACTTCCTTTCAGCCGTTTTCAAGGACATCCTTTACCTCCAAGGGGACAGCACGAACTGGAACCAATGTCACTTCTCCCTCATCTTGCCTCCATCTCTCTCCATCATCATCTCCACCGTGTTCATATTATTTATAATAAACAATAACAATGACCGAAGAAGCCAGAATCAAATGTCTGAATTCTCCCCCTTACCGCCAAGAAACATAAAAGGACTTTGTTAGCCATCCTATACCTCCTACACCTCTCGGTATGTCATCCTGCTATGGCGGATCACCCAGTCCAAGCTGGATGTTCAGAGGACAATGCAAATCACTTATACCTCCTCCCACTTCTTCTGCCTCCTCCCACTTCTTCTGCCAAGCCTACACCTCCATATGAGGTCTTCCTTACGTCTGTACCCAACCCAACCAGGGTGATGAAGATGCAGGTATGCCATATCCAAGGCAAGTCTCTCCTTTAACACTCCTGTTGCTTCCTTCTGCTTCCTCCCTCTACTTCACTTCCATAGCCTTGCCGTTCGCCTACCTCGCCCTGGCTCTGCCACCTTAGCCAGGGTGGGCGGCAGCTCCCTCTCTATGCTGCTGCGAGGCTGTTTACCTGCCAAGCTCCAGGAGCAGCAGCACTGCTACGGTGCACTTGGAGCAACTCACCACTCCTCAATATATACTTTGGTCACTGCCTCACTATGATGGGACTTCCCAGGTACTTGGCCTCTAGGCCCTAATGGTTTCCACCCATTTTGGCGGGAAATCACTGCAGACTGGTATGTTATGTAACTGATTGAAATGCAATCCACAGCCGACTCACACGTTCCCATACACGCATGCATTTCTGAAGGAGACTTGGAGGAGGCGTTTCCACACCCAAAACCGAAGAGGAATACACAGCGGAAGCTCACAATATAACAATTGTTACAATAGAATTGAATTTGAGATTCAATTCTCGAATCCTCCTCCTCCAATCAACCAAGCTTACAATTCTTCCAATAATCACAACCGTGTTATAACAACCCCGAACAACTTAAAACAAGAGTTCATTGGATTATTATGGGTCTTCTTCTACCCCCTGCTTGTCCTACAACCCTGGCTATGGCCGTTCTCCACTGCCAACAAGAAGATGATATGGCAGCGCCAAACCCCAACAGCACAGTGATGGTGAAACATCCCTGCTTCAGCGCTGCCTTCAGCGAGCACTCCCAGCGACCAGCTATGGCTGTCCAGTCGAAGGAGGAGCTAGGTCGCATATATAGCACAGCAGCGCTCATCCGCATACGCGACAGAGTTTCCCCACATGCTGAAAAAGAAAAGAACCCCAGTCCACTCTGACTCATCAAGGCAGCTGGACCTATACGATATACGGGCATGTTTCTAGAACCTAGACCCTACGACCTATGGGGCTGGAGCTATACTGAGGACTAACCAAAAGTCAGCACGGGCCTACCGTTTTCAGTGCGGTAACAGGCAACAGCAGGAAGGCCCTCAGGAGAGCAGAAATTGCAGAAAAGCCCCTGCGGGACAAGGCCTGTTTTGTTTGCGGTTAGGCCCCTGAACTTCAGAAAATTAAAATCCTAAGCTGATTGCATATATACCTACAGGAGCTGGACCTAGACTCTTTTCAGGCTTTATTCAGGCCAGTCCCTTCTAAACCTCTCTCCTAGGGCTACCCAACCTCGGGAAACACCCCAGCCCCCAGCCTACCAGAGGCTATACCTTTTTCTTCTTTTCTGTCTAACTACCAGGCAGTACTTGATTTTGGCCTGCCTTTTGCCTTCCTACCCCTACGTCTTCACCCGCATAGAATGCCCGGTCATTATAGCTGTATTTGGCACAACTTTTGGTCCAGATGCAGCGACAATGACCGGGCGTCCTATTCGGGTGAAGACGGTAGCCCGCTGCACAGGCCAAGAACATGGCGACAGGGGGGTTAGTACCAGGCTCGAGAGGGCCAACCCAACAACACAGGCCATCATTCCCGGTCACACACACACCCCAAGTACTCAGACATACATACAGACATCTGGAACACAGATATGAGCAATCACAATGCCACAAACAGACTCAGAATCCCAGCGGACGCACAGAACTGCAAAATCTCAGAAAAACACAGGCTTCAGTCTGCAATTTGGCAGGTTATTACACCAGGTTGCTTGAGACCTGTCTGTCATGTATAACCTGGCCAAACGGTGGCTGATGGTCAGACGACCCACGACAGAGTGTTTGGCAACATAGGTTTTGAGTGTTTTTCTTTTTTTTTTTTAGTAGAAAAAAGGTTTTGACTCTTTTGAGTGCTTTCTTGTTCTTCATAGATCATGTCTTTGTAATGTGGATCTTCTTGTAGCCTCATACCCTCTGTTTTCTCACAGTTGCTTCATTCTATGGTCATTTGGATTTCGTTGTCTACTTGTGGGTTCTATCAACAGGTACGTAAATGTTGGAAGATTCTTTTTTGATCCCATATTTGGACACACTGGAATGGGAGGAGGGTTGGTATCCTTCAACGGCTTTTTTCAAAGTCTCCGGCCTTGCCAACAGGGTCTCATGGTGAATATCGGTGAGTGTGGCATCCCCCTCGGTACGATGTCTATGTTGCATAAGGGTAGCTTGGGGTCAGTAGTAGGGTCGCTAGCTGCAAGTCAAAGGGTAACGCCACACTGAGCTGTGTCAAAGTTTTGAAATCCAGTGCATGCTATTTGAAGTTGTGACTCTGACCATGTATTTTGTATCAAAGATCAAAGACCTAGATAGACATAGCCTATTGGGGTCTGCCTTGAACGGCCCGACTCCGTTAGGGCACACTCAACCTTATCAGTCAATGACACAAGTCTTGCCAGTGGGTGCATTGACAAAGAGCATGTACTGCATTCTGTTCTATGCGATCACTGGATGCGTTCGTTCGAGTTTACAGTGCCATTTCATCCTTCTCTCCTTGAGACTTTCAACAATCCCAACTCTGGGGCTGGACATAAACCCTTGTCACCAGTTCCACTTCTTTACCCGGATTTGGGAAGACAGTGGGACGAGTCCCTCACAGACCACTTCTGTGGATTGGCAGAGCTCAGGATAGTAATCAGACTGTCTCAGCTCATTCTCCAGTCATCGCTTTGATATGGTTGACGGACTCTGAGGTGTTGATATAGGATATCCTCTCTGGAAAAAGATGTAATCCCGTTTAGCCCCTGCCTTTGAGCCAAGTCAGGCCTTGAATCCCAGACTCCAGGTCCGAAATAACTCTTTTGCATACCCTGCCCCGCCCCCCGACAGGGAAAGAAAATGGGAAAGAAAATGAACAAATCGAAGATTTAAATGGATCGAAGATTTAAACCAAGACTGCAAGAGCAGACCACCCTTTTGTCCTAGTCAGATGTGTCCAAAAAATCCAGAAATGTCCAAGACTGCAAGAGCAGGCCGCAGTACGCTGAGGTAGATCCGTCCTCGCTCTTCTACCAGTCAGATATGCCCTGAAAATGCAGGAATGTCAACTGGCGACAGATGTCTCTTTTGCCTTCCAAACAGTGATGGTGAACAGGTAAGTACGAGGGACGATCAACGAAGAGTCTTACGATAATACCCACACCCACGCTAGCACTCTCGGAAATGCACCACTACTGCCCGTCCTGGACGAACCTGACTGTGATTGTGTCCAGAGCTTTGCTGAAAAGGTCCTAGTGTAGGTATGTCCTCAAAGGAATTCTCAATTGACAGGTTTCAACCTACCTTCCCTCCCAGCATATCTGGCAGTACTCTGGACCAGGATCCTGACCTGAGGCATGTCATACACTCTCTTGTGCAGACGCAAAAGGCGAGAACAGAACGGCATCAGCAATCCTCATTCTCAGATCTTCAAAATTTTAAATCCGGAGGCACCTCCTGAACTTGGAAAAAGACCCACAGCAGGGAAATTGGTGCTGGTCAGACGGTCGATGGAAAAATGAATGGATTCACGGCCAGGCCCTGTCGGGCCTCACAAATTTCCAGACGCTCAGACGGAGGCCGATCCCAAGGGTTGAGGGGCTATTGCCCACTTGGAGAAGCGAAAATAAAATATTTGAGGGCCAAGGGCCCAGTCTAGAAGTTTCCAGTCAGGTCTAGGGGTCCGGTCCCTATAAAATCAGCAGGATCCAGCTTCGAAAGTCGTAGGCCCAGATCGAGAAAGTCTAGAAGTCAAGTCGTTACTGGTCGGGCCTGGTACCAAGTGAGAAATCCAGAAGTCGACAGTCCAACCTTGCAGCAGCATCTCAGGAAAGTTCCAGAGGATAACGGTCCCCAAGAAACATGCAGCTCACTGCACACAGGCCCAAGGTGGCCGGTACCAGTCCAAGTCTACCAACCCAGTCACGAAGCTATTTATAGCTGCCACAGGACCTTGACCATTCATTGGGAGTTGCATGTAGTAGAACCACTGCACAGCTTGCGACCATCACGACCCAATGTTCTGAGTTGACGAAGAGGACGACGCGAAGCTAGTGGAGGCAACGAAGGGCTACATATTGGCGGTTGTATTCAGGGAGTGATCCTGGACTTGATAGCGGGTAGATTGATAGATAGATAGATAGACAGACAAATAGATAGATAGATAGATAGATAGATAGATAGATAGAGATAGATAGATAGATAGAAAGAGAGAGAGAGAGAGAGAGAGAGAGAGAGAGAGAGAGAATCTCACCTGT